CTTTGTTTGCAGGCATGTTAGGCGTACACATCCTCGAACCATCAGTCCACCCTTTCGTAACTGTGTCGTGACTGTCATACCAAGTTTCATCCAAATAGAAAATTTGCCGTTATTCTTGTCGATATTTAGTTATTTGTATTTGTATATAAGTATTTGTTACTTATTATTCCACTATTCTTTTGCTTTCCATAACTGTTTGACGTTTGTTTATTATTTTAAATCTAAATTCTAGTTTCTTCATCTAATTCTTAAGAGTGTTGTCACAGCAGCTCATGTTATGGCCGGAAGTATACAGTTTCTTTCTTATGATTTCAGTTGTAGTAATCTCATTGCTTTTGTATCAGTCGTATATTGTTTTTTCAATGATTTCATTAAATGATGATATTAGATCTAAAGGTTTTGGTAATCCCATATCACATCCCGTCTTGTGTTCATAAGGTTTGTTTTTGACTATTTTACGTACAGTTTAGAAAGGAATTTCGGTCAAATCTGATGTTGCTTGTAATAGTTCGTTTCCCTCGAAACCAAACTTGAGATATAGATTTTTATATAGATTGAAACATACTCTCTGTATTTCAAAATTCGATCGAATCTTATCGAATCACTACACAGGAAAAAGTCTGCGTTGTTATCACACTCGTTGTTATTATTAGTACTTGTCCAAGGACGCCACATTTTAAACAAATAACAATAATTTTGAGTAATTATAACTGCATCAATATCGAATTTCAATCAGTTCCGGAACTGGACATTGACAACACGACGGCGATAAGCATCCTCGCATTCTATTCGTCACCGTAACATGACTTCAAATTTAATTTTATGACTCTTCAACCAATCATAAAACTTGGTTAGTAAAAATTATCCAATACGAACCGCGAATTATTCAGTCCACGTGGACTGAATAAAACCCTTTGGTTTTTTGCCCTTTGAGCTCGCCGGCAGCTTTAACTATTAACAATACAGGTTACTTCGACTATACCTATACAGTAAATTCCCTCTATTAAAAATTGATTATCACAATTAATTGTCAGAATCTGCATGTATTTTTTTATTTAAAATATTTTTCATTCCAGATACTGTTGTGAAGTGGGCACTATTTTGGGTGTACTGAGCTACGTAATTTTCCAACAAGGAGATGAAATAAGAAACCAAGGCCTTTGGACATTTTTGAAACAACAAGTATATATGTTAAATTTTGTTGACTTAATGAGTGATAAATATTGTTTCAGTCAAATTCTCCACCAAAAACGATATTTTTGATATCCAACCTCCTCATATTAGCATGCATACCTTTTAGATTACTTCATGACAGGAATACAGAAGAAGCAATATTGCTGTTTGCAGTGCCAGGTTCTTGGTTTCTGTTAATGTTTTTTGCTGGGTAAGTTATAACTTATTTAAGGTACTTTTCTAGACGACCTATTTTTCAGAGCTGTGCGGCTCACTGGACCATTTGTTACCATGATATACAGTATGATAACAGGAGACATGCTGACTTTTGGCATAATTTACACTATCGTCCTCTTTGGGTTCTCACAATCATTTTTCTTTTTATACAAAGGATATGCAGGAGTCAATTCAACATTATACCATAGTTATCCATCCACTTGGATGGCACTATTTCAAATTACGTTAGGAAACTATGATGTAATGAAGCTAAAGCTAAGAAATTTACATGAGATTCATACTTTCATTTTTAGTACCAAGAACTTGGTTCAACAACTTACCCAGCCGTAGCCAAAAGTGTTTTTGCAATTTTTATGGTTTTTGTACCAATTCTATTGTTGAATATGTTGATAGCCATGATGGGAAATACGTACGCTCACGTCATTGAACAAAGTGAAAAAGAATGGATGAAGCAGGTAGGTTAGGTTAGGTCCAAGGTAAGTGGGTTTATTCGACCCTTCACCGCAACCCGCAAGGGTTTATTTTGGTTCACACATATTCACACTCGACCAAATAAACTCACTTTCTTAACGAAGCCGATTAGTTTGTATGATGAGTGGTATTTCAGGTTAGATGGTAAGAGTACGGCTCTGCCGAACTCTAAAAACCTGATACTGTTCCCAGCGGGGCAGGCATAAACTATGTGCTCTGCTGTTTCATAAGTTTCTCAACAGAGGCAACACACACTGTCTTCTGACAGTCCGAATCTCTGCATGTGATGACGGTGACCTGTAAGAAGGCCTGTTGGACATCGTAGTCCATCCCCACTTTGGTCTAACAACTGTTTGGTTTGTATCAAGCTTCGAAGGGTGAATAAACGAATCCTGGAAGATTTTGCCAGAAGTCCATAAATCTTCGCGCCATCCAGGCGTTCAATCTTTGTTTGGTAAGGCCTAAAGCGACGCCAATGATAGGTTCTGGTCCGATGAAGCTGCTTGCAGCACCTTCCTTTGCAAGGAAGTCAGCAGCCTCATTGCCTTCCAGGCCAGTATGACCAGGTATCCAGACCAGAGACAATCTGTTAAGTCTTCCTATCGAGGAGAGTCGTTTTTGGCAATTTGCTACCAATTTAGACATTGCTCGGTAGGAGCCAAGAGCTTCCAATGCCGCTTGACTGTCCGAGAATATGTTTATAGACTTGTGTACGAGGTTGGATTCTTATAAAGTCTCCATACACAATTCAATAGCGTAAATTTCCGCTTGAAATACAGTCGCATAGGTTGATATCTTCTGGGTCTGCAAATGAAAACACCTGCACCAGAACCGGAAGGTGTTTTTGATCCATCTGTGAACCAACAACTATCTGCTACTAATATTTCCTTCTACCAGAGGATCCAGTCCTCTCTAATCGGGAGCAGTACTTTATAAGGCAGTTCGTAGTTGACATAACATCAGAGGTCATTTCCAGATTACTGTGGCTTCCAGTGTCAACCAACAGTCTGTTGCACTCTGCATCAAATTAATTTGTGCAATTGGCAAGGTGCACAAGTTTATATGCAGTCCATCTAGCCTCTCTCTCCAGAAAAATGTGGAGAGGAGGTAGATCTAGAAGGATATCCATGGCCACTGATGGTGTGATACTGATGGCACCACTGAATGCCAGACAAGCCTGTGTCTGTAAGCCAGAGAGCTTCGCCTGGGCCGTTTTCTGTAAAGCATTCGGCCACCAGGCAATATCAACATAAGTGATCGTTGGTCTGACAATCATCACATAAATCCAATGGATTTGTTTGGGACCTGAACCCCAAGTTTTATCACAAATCCTTTGACATGTCCATAGGGACAGTCTGGCTTTTGTGTAAAACTTTTTCCAAGTGAGCGTCCCAGGTGAGTTTTTTATCAAAGACAATGCCAAGATATTTCACCTCCGTTCTGAATGGAATGACCTCACCATTGAGGGAAAGTGGCGTTAGATCGTCCAATTTTCTCTACCTGGTGAAGGGGATTATCACAGTTTTGTTGGGGTTGAAAGACATCTGCTCCCTCAGGCACCAACTGTGAATACCGTCCATCGTGCTTTGGATATTACAAGCTATTCTTCCCGACGTGGACGTTGCCAAGATGACAAGGTCATCTGCATAAGCTTGCAGATCAATGTTTCTTCTGTCTGGGACATCAAGCAGACTATCCATCAGGAGCGACCACAGAAGAAGAGATTGTACTCCACTTCGTGGGCAGCCCCTGGTGACCCTGAACCTAATAGACTCGCCTTAAAGAGTCGTAGTTGCAGTTTTATTTACTAGCATGGCATAGATCCAGCCAGTTATGGTCGATTCTATACCCTTCCCAGCCAGAGACAATCCCATAGATTTACGTAGTGCATTGTCAAATGCTCCTTCAATATCGTGAAATACAGCAACCGCAATCTCCTTGTTGTCATGAGATTGGGAAATTTTCTCTACAAGGTTGTTTAATGATAAATCTGTCGATTTGCTGGTTTATTAAGCATAGTGGTGGTTATTTAGGAGGGATGTGATGTGTCCGTCCATTATCCTCTCAAGTCCTTTCAACAGGAAGGATGTAAGGCTGATTGGTCGTACCGATTTAAGGTGTGGGTCTTTCCGACCCACTGCCCACCCTTGCTGCCAACCAACTGGGTGATATATAGTTCCACGCCAGACTAGCTCTATACCTACAATTTTACGAGGATAGGTAAAATTATTTCCAATCCGTTTTAAAGAAGAGCTGGAAATATACCATCCTATCCAGAGATTTGAAGGGCTGAAACGATTTGATAAACCATTAAACTTCCGGTGCTGTGATAACCTTCTTGACGACCTCTCAATCGTTCTTTTTTGGGCGTTCGGCGCCCTCGAAGATGGGAGGTATGTTGTTACCAAGAGTCAGATTTCCAGAAAAGTGTTTTTCTATCAAAAGCTCTAACGTCTATTTACTAGAGGTCGTGAACGTTTCATCGGGTCGTTTAAGCACCCACTTTCAGCAGTCGGCTCTCTAGAGAGAATCTTATGAATTCCTTGTTGTATGACGTTAGAGTAGTTTTATAAAGCTTTCAGTTACCTGACTCATTGAACTTTTTTTCTTTATTTTTTAAGGCTTTTCCTCCACCGAGAAGAGTTATGGTTATCTCTTTTAATCCTCAGGAAGCAGGTAGATTAAGTTTGTTAAAAAAATCTGGTAAAATCTGTTTTTACGTTAACCAGCTGTGTTCAATAGAATATAGGAATTCAAATGATTAACATTATAACTTTATTGAATTATAAATATTCACGACTGCTGTCGGGGCCCTCGGTTATGCGATATGTGTGGTTTGAATTTTCTCTCGAAATGGTATTATTACGTTTTCTCCGTAGGTTTGACAATAATCAATTGTGTGCTGAAAAAATAAGGTGAATTTCAAATCATCTGAAAAATGAATTTCATTAGTTTGGACTTCCATTGTCTGATATTATATAAAATGATTT